CAATTACTAAGCAAATAGCAATTACATTTAAGCAGTTAGTTTATGTTAGCAGCTATAAGTTCAGCTCGTTAGTAATTTCTTGAACTACTATTTTGTCCCGTTCCTTTAATTTCCTTCGGCCAGAAGTATGCAGGCCTTATTATACTGCAAAAGGGGGGTTTACCACTGATATTAAGCTGCTTACACATTTCACTTGCACCTGGCTTTTAAGGTCAATTAAAGTTTAAACATAAAAAAAGTTTGGTTCAGGCCTAGTGCAGGAAGGCTTCATTGACACTTGTGATTTTACACCCTCCTGAGTCACCTGGCGTGATGGTGATGCCTGGTGACGTCAACAGCACCATTATCGTAGCCCTGACCTCTCATGTCAGCTATCGCAATTCCCGTATCTTCCAGCTTTTTAAGAAGCACATTTGTCATACCAGCTCCTGTAGTATGACCAATGTCAATAAATTCTAGAAAATGCTCTCTGACCGTCACCATCGCAGGGACATTTTCACTAGGTTCTGTGTTGTTACAAAACGCACCATTAAAGTCATTTGTTCCATATGGCTGATGTCAGGCAGTCCAGAATAACAGAGTAATATCTTGCTGACTTCAGCTCTGTCACAATCTTCTGTTTGATTTTTGTTGCCAGTAACTGTATGATCTCATTTTGAATTGTTTTTCCAAGGTAATGGTGTGTGTACATTTCTTGGGTGGTGACTCTTCTTAGATGCTCCTGGAGTACAGCATCAAACTCAGCATCAGCTCCACAATTTTAAGGAAGTTTCCATTGTTTGGCACATACAGCTGATCTGAAGTGCCACACAGTACTAGGTTTTGGGTAGCAAGCATTCTCACAATGGCAATGAGCCTTTTCAGAACATTTTGCTAGTAAAGAAATTCTGATGCAATCTTCTCTTGATGCTGATCATCTATGGTGGACCTTAATCTTAGTCTCATCTCAAGCTCTTTCCACCTATGGAATGCTCTCTGGTGATTTGCTGCCTTCTCATGGCATGCCAGATTTCTAGCCAGATTTTTCCAGTCCTTTGTTCCTGTAGAACCCAATGTGGCTGGAACATTAGACTGGAAGAGTTTGCAACAAAAACAGTATGCAGCATTTTGGGTTTTGGAGTACATAAGCCATGGCCTATCCACTTTGTCACCATTGGGGATTTCACGCCAGTAATGTATTGGATGGAAACTTCTATTTTCATTGTCTTTGGGGAACATGAAGTTTTTCACTTGCTGTGGCCCATGCAGTACAAAGAAGTCCCTCAGGCTACTGCTCAAGTGGGTCCACAGTCCTGGATCATCTAGACTTAAGGAACTAAACTCAGCAGCAGCTGTTTCTTGCACCTTCACCGCACTCTTCTCTGATCTACACTTTTCTTCAGGAATGTGCATGGTTACATCCATTTGAGATGGAGATATGGATGCTGCAGTAGCTGCCAGGTCACCTGCAATCTGACTAACTGGAAGATCAGGCATCTCCTCACCACTCACATCCTCACTGGGACTGGAAGGCTCACCGTGAACATTTGTGTCTATGTATCTCAGGAGAGCTCCTTCCTGCTTAGATAGAAAAGCTTCCTTTGCTTTCTTTCTTTCTTTTTCTGAATGCTGCCCCAGAGGGGCGTTTTCTTCTTTCACTCATGACTGCTGTTCTGTGCCAGCTAGAGTGGCTCTCAACACTCAATTGAAGGGGACAAATAAGCAGGCTGGTAGCAGGGCCTGAGTGAGGGAAGATATCAGCATCTTAAGGGCCTAACTGACTCCTTCTACTTCAGTTGACTGCCTGTTCTCCTCAAGTGAGTTCAGGGAAGCAGCAGGAAACAGGAAAGCTCCCTGAGAAGCTGGTGTTAATCAGTCCAGGCTCCTGGGGGTGCTAGAGAGGTACATAAGAGGCTTCTCCTCCTCTCTCTCCCTGCAGCTCCTGCTGTTTTCTGTTATTCCCTCTCACCTTTTCTCCTGCCTGCCTGTTATGTCTCTTGTGCCCTTTTTCCTCCAGCACAGCACTCCACCATCTCTGTGTGTCTAGAGCAGAGAGAATACATATGCACCCGCAGCAGACACAATTTTCTACACTCTGGGTCCTAATGGTACCCCCCCCCCCGCCCAGTCTGGCACCTGAGGGGGCCGCCTTAGTTCGCCTCATGGTAAGGCCAGCCCTGATGGCCTGTGTTATGCAGGAGATCAGGCTAGATGATTATAAGAGTCCCTTCTGGCTTTAAAATTATTAATCTATCAATGCAATTTCCTGTTATTCTAATTTATCACATGGTTAGCACCAGTACATATGTAATATAAGTAGGATTTATTGGCCAGTGCTAACATTTTGCTTAAGAAAAAAAGTGTGGAACCTCTAATGAGATCCTTGGTGGTTTTAGGAAAAGAATTAGTATTTATAAAAAGGGAGGAGTCTGAAGCATTTAATTGTGCATAGTTCTGTGTTCTTTGATCACATTCTCCTTGGTTAACCTCTAGTGTTAAAACAACAAAGACTGACCTACATTGCTGCCTGGACTCTCTCTGTGTTTTGAGTTAAAGCCTCCCTGTTGAGGGACTTTGCGATATATAGTCGAGGAGGAGACTGTGTACAGTGTAACTCTGTTCCACAGGGGAAAATGTACCTGTGTGAGAGTGGTATGGGATAATGTGTACAGATGTGATCAAGTGTGCAGTATGTCTGCAGGTGGGAGATAGGTGGAGGTGAGTGTGGGCTGGGGAGTGTTTGCATGGTATGAATGAATGCCTACAATGTGTATAGGGCCCATATTCTCTGAGGCACAATGGGACCAAATTTTATGGCAACAACCTCTAAACTCCACACAGCCAACGCTAAATTCTGCTGCAACATTTATTTATTTAGTTGCAGCTGCAAGCAGGGAGACCAAAGGGAATTTGTAGGGCATCAGACTGCAGAAAAATGGTGAATTCCATGGCATCTTGAAAAATGCCAAATTCTACAAAAGCAGAATACATATGGCCCAGAGTATTGCCTGTGTGGACACTCCAGGTGTTAGGCAGAGGACTGATTGCATATGTGTGTGGGATGGAGGGAACTCTGCGAGGTGCGGTGTGTTTGAGTGTGCTTAGTGTGTCTGTGGATTTGTGGGCTAGTGTGTGTGCAGTATGTGTGGGGAGGGGTGTATGGGGTGGAGTATGCGGGTAGGATGGGCTTGCATAGTGACTGTAAGGGTGTGGAGAGTGTTTATATCGTAGAATGGGGCGATGGGAAGGGCAGTTCTTGCCAGCTGATTACATAAAATTTTCCGTGGAGGGGGCTAATATATGCGGAGCTGTATTAATCACTCAGGCAGACAACATACCAGTCATGGCATGTAATGACCTGTTTGTGCTTCCACAGATCGCCTTCTAATCCAAAAGTAGGACTGAAAATGGAGCCCTTCCATGGAAAAGCCTCTACACACCAAACACCCCCGCGTTTCCAGATGTCCCTCTATGTTCGCAGCGCAACCTTCTACCTGAAAACATCTCGGATTCCCAGGCACTGACTACAGCTGCCAGGAGCGAGCCCCCCGCCCCCCAAGTATTCTCCCTCTCTCCCTCCCTCCTATAGGCTGGTGGAGGTGCCCAAACCCGCATCTCCTGACTCCGCTGTCTCCTCCTCAGCAGCGATTCCGTGCGGCGGGAAGAAGCCCGGTGACAACAATCCCAAGCAGCGGCGGCGGCAGCGTGGATGAAGCGGCGGGGCCGCCTGGCTGGGATTACAGGAGGAAAGAGGGAGCGTGTCCCTTCCCACCTCTCCCGTCCGGCGAGCTGCGGGGCGCGTGCGGTGGGGGGGCGAGCGCCAGCGGCTGCCGGCTTCAGGGGAATGCGGCACTAGCATCTCCCCCAGACCTCGGAGGCACCGCCGCGGCAGCGCGTCCCTCCTCCGCCGCCCGGCCTCCGGAGGGGGCTTCTCTCCTCAGCCTTCCCTTTCGCGGTGCCTCAACTCCGCTATGGTGGCTGCCGCCTCCCGCACGCCGGAGCGGGGCTGCGCGGGCCGGCTGCGGTGCTGAGTGCAAGGGGAGGCAGGTCCCCTCTGGCCGCTGCGGGCTGGGGGCTCTCTCCGCGCCTTGCCGCGGCCGGCTGCGGCGGGCGGACCTGGGGAGTAGGAGGCGCCATTGCCAGGAGGATTATTGCCGGGGGTGCCGGTGCCGAGCGGGCAGCAGAGCCCGGCGTTGCCCGCGCCCATCCCCGCCGCCCTTTGCCTGGCCGGGGGAAGCGGCCACCCAGCGATGCGCCCGGCGTGAGGGAGCCCGCGCCCTCGCCGCCGCCCGCAGCATGCCGCCCTCCCCGAAGAGACCCCGCGCGGCCGCGGCCGCCGCCTGCCCTGCCATACTGCTGCTGCTCCTGTGCTTGGGCTGGGCGCGGGGGCACTCCCGGGGGGCGGCCGGGCTGCCCCCCAACGCCACCACGCCGATCTCCATCATGGGCTTGATGCCGCTCAGCCAGTTGGAGGAGGACCAGAAGAGCAAGATCGGCCGGGGCGTGCTGCCCGCCGTGCAGCTGGCCATGGATCAGATCCGCAACGAGTCCCTGCTCAACCCCTACTCGCTGGACCTCCGGCTCTATGACACCGAGGTAGGGATGCCGTTCTCCGGCAGCAGCCTCTCAGTGCCAGCCTGCTGCCCCCTCCCCGCGCCTGCCTGGGGTGTGCAGGGGAGGTGCCCCGGGAAGTCCGGGGGATGCGGCAGGTGCTCGGGGAGGGAAGGACATTCCCCCTCCCCCACAGCTCCCAGAGCCCCGGACCTTGGGGCATGCGGACAGGTTGATGCGCAGCTGATTGCTCTCCCCACTTGGCCTGACCCGCGAGCTGTGCTCCGGGCATCAGCCTTGTGTGTCAACACGGAGTGCAAACAGCCGACAGATGTTTAGGGCTGCAAATGGTGTTTTGCCATGGAGCGAGACTCCGGCGAGATACCCAGGGTGCGGTGGTGGAGAGGCAGGCAGCGGGGCGGACGGGCCATATTGTGCTCTCAGTGACACCAGGGCACGGCCGGACCAGGTCTGCGGGCATCAATGGGCTTGCTCCGCATTTTATAGCGGTGTCGCTGAGAGCAGAATGCGGCCGATACCACCTCTGCTGGCTTGTTGGGGAAGACGGGGGCACGGTGACAAGGTGGGGGCTGGGCCGGGCAGGTGTCTGGGTTGCTAGGTTGTGTGATAGCTTGGGTTTGTTGCCCTTCTTCGTGACATAAGCCTGTAGAAGGATGGGTTTAATTGGTGATTTCTACGTTAAGAACCTCAGGCTGTCTCTCTTTTCCAGAGTGGGTTCGATTTATTAAGCAACAGATGCACGTCAACGGCCTTTTTTCCCCCCCCCCCCCCCCCCATGAGCTGGCCCTGAGATCCGGATTTATAAAATGCAGCATTTGGATTTGAGTGGAAATTGATGTAGCTGAAGGAAGCACTGTGAGGAGGTGGGAAAAAGAGCTTGTGGGTTTTGTCACATTTCAGCTTTAGCTTGCACGGCCTGAGCAGGCAGGGACGTCCTTTCAGAGGTGTATTTGGAGGGTGAATGCAAAGTAAGGATGTGAACACGGCTTCGTCTTCTAGTTCTCGCAGATTTATTCAGCGTAAGCATTACCCTGTTTGATGTAGAGATCTACATCTCCTTGTCCTCACTATCCCATTCGTTACGATTAATAGGTTATGTAGTCGTATCAATTGCGTGTGGTGCGCGCACACACACACACACTACCGTTAAGGAATGCAGGGGAATTTCAGGGGTGACAGCATGAATACAGTGTTGTGAATTCAAAGCAGCGGATGTTCACAAAGAGTTAAATTTGCAGTTTCTCTGTGTTGTGTCAATGCCACACATAATTCCTAAAAGCCCTATGTTTCAGATTTGTTTCTTTGAGGCTGGAGGAGGGCATTGGGCAGGAAACGATGTCAGATTTGGTACAGGAATTTCTCGTTCTCTTTAATTTATAGAGGGATGTGGGGTTTGCTAATTATTTTTTGCTGAATTACACTTGATTTTCGTCACAACTTTAATAAACGTGTGTTTGTATCGAATAAATGCTGATTCAGTATTGAACCTTTCCTGAAGATGGCAGTCATTTCTTGTGTAATACTGGTGTCTGATATCCATTTCCAAGACAAACCTGGTAAAGCAATTGACTATTGAACATCTTCCCTGTCCTAATTTGTTTTAAGAAAAACCCCTGTTTTCTCCCACTCTGTCCCCAGAATCTGAGAAATAAACTGAAATCATCAAGGATAGGCTGCTTTCATTGTAATATGTCTAATCCAGAAATTATTTAGGGAATCTCTTATTCTGTAGCTCCTGCTTTTTATTTACATAAAACTATATTATCTTTAGCATAGTAATTTTTCAGATCTCTTTAAGGGGAAATGCATATAATTGAAGACACAAATGCTAAGCAAATATTCTAAGGCAGCATTTTTTGTATTAATGCAAATGATATGTCGAAATAGAATACAGACATGATGAGCCTAAGATAGTCATTAGTTGTCCTTAGAAAATGAATGCCAGTGAACTGTGTAATGATAATGAAAAGGATTGTGGGTTTTTTTTCTGAATGGCAATACCTGATTTTATATAAGCACGATATTTGTCAGAAATACTCACAATTTTACTAATTCATTCTTCTCTACATTATCCTATATAAACTGATGACTCCTAAAGATGGTATTATTATAAAAAAATGTGTAAAGAAAAGAAATTAGGCAAACTTGGACAAGATTTCCCCTTTACATATAAGGATCCAATAATATTCAATAAGCTGCTACACTTTTATATAAACTTCAAAACATTTGTCTAGTATATGTATGTTATTTATTAACACAGAATTTGCTTTCTGAACTAGAAAGCTAACACTATAAGTATTTAGAAAACAGGTTCTATTTCTCAGTGGTTGAATAACAGTCTTGTTAAAAAACTCCACTTTTACTATTTAATGCTCCAGAGAAATTAAGAAATAGGATCCTGTCATAAACCTGGTATGTAGCTTTGAATTCCCGTTGATTGTTACTAGCAATGACCTGGGGAAACACTGAATATCAACTAGCCCTCAATGATCATAGGATGTTAATTCATCTTAATGTATAGGAGAGTTGATATACAATCCTCTAATGGGTACAGTGTAAAAAAAGTGCAGATTTGATTTTGAGAATGGCTGTGCTTGTTTTAATTGATACATTTTTAGGTCCTTCAATTAGTGAAGATAGAATGAGGTTATCTATAGAATTAATTGGGACTGTAATAAATTGACACATGTATGTACCATGTGAACAGGTTAACATTATTTTAATTTTATTAAAATATAAATGGTCTTTTCTGTGTTTAGAAAATGCATAGCATATTTTGATCAGTATTGTGTGCGTAACAGTCACAATTAAATAACTTAGCACTCATGAAAGGTACCAGAATGACAGCACCCGAGAAAAAGTTGTCGGTCTATCCTCTAAATTTTAGTTATGCCAGTGCAGGATTCTTGATACTACTCAGCTGCTGTTTTAATTCTAATGTGGACAAAACGTGAGTGATAGTGTTGTTAAATTACCAGGCCCACTCAGTCCTTGCCCAGCTGCTGAGCTTGACAAAAATATGTGGTCTGTTGGTTAGAGCAGGAGACCTACATTCTATTCATGACATAATCACTGACCAGGGAGTGTGCATCTCTTAGGACATAACAGTTGCATACATCACAGATACAGGGCCATCATAATCTCCTAAAGGGGAAACAGAACATTGAATGCAGGGCTTGATAGTAAGTGAAAGAATCTGATTTTTTAATATATTGAGACATACTATAAGTGCATTTATAATACTTAAGTCTACATACGGTAATGCTTTGGAATCTTAAACATTTTTTATTGTTTTTTTTTTTTTTTTTTACAAAATCCCCCTTGAGACAACTTTGTTTAAGTATTGAAATATATTGTATTTTTTTACAAAGTTGTAATGAAAAGCCCATGAAAAATAATTAAATTAATTCAGGTTGGATTGACATATAGTTTAAAGCATTTATATATTCAGATTTTTTTCTGGCAAGTTAAATGAGTATTGTTAATTTACTGCTTGTGATTTCTGTAATATATAAGAATACATTTACTGTAAATGCAATGATTTATATTCAAGTCATTGCCAGGCACTTTCTCAATTAGGCCACAGTTCAGGAAAGCAGTGAGTACATATTTAACTTTAAGCATATGATTAACCCCACTCCTCTTAAGCAAAGCACTTAAATATGTTAAAGGTAAGCACATGCTTAAGTCCTTTGCCGAACTGGGGCACATGCCAGATGGGGTTGTGTACTATATTTTCTCAGCAAAATGTGATCAAGCAAATTTATGAAAATGCAAAGGTTGTTTCAAGGGAAATCAAAAGCCTGCTCCTGCTCCAATTTAATGATCCAATCCTGCAAACACTTATGCATGTTTTTAACTTTATGCACATGGGTACTACTACAACTGCTCATGTGAATAATGTTAAGTACAAGTGTAAGTGTTTGTAGGATTGAGGATTAAGTGAGTGACCAAACTCCCATTGAGTTTTCAATAGGCTTTGTATACGACCCTTCTTGGCCATGCTAGATTTTGTTGTTTATGTTGTTTTAGAAATGTAGGGCCAAATAAAGTGAGCTGCTGAGTGTCTTCTGCTTTCTAGGCGCCTGATCCAAAGTCTACTGACTTTAAAGAGCTTTGGATCTGGTTTTAGGAGTTGAGGAAACTTGACATTTCTCAGTTCTGGACCAGTAACTAAGGTGTATTTCTTCTTTTTTTCTCCCTTTGGTTATACATTCATTCAGCTTCTAGAGTAGAACTTAATTTTGTAGGGAAATAAACAACCCTAACATAAAGGAACTGAGCAGTGTGACAGAGAATGTAGTATATGTCACTAATATTAGTTTCATAGCAAGTGAAAGTTGGTAAGAGGTGTTATAGGGAGAGATTTTTCAAAGTTAGAGATTGGAGTCAGGCATCCAACTTCCACTGATTTTTCAATGGGAGTTGAGTGCCTGCCTGCCCTTTGAGCCTTTGAACATAGCCCCTTAATGAGGAATATACTTTCTGTCTCTTGGACCCCCAATACACAAAGTGGCATAGACAGACTGCAAGTTTATGAAGCCTTAACACCTATAGCCAAGAATAATGGATGTGCAAGTCAGAATTCAATCATTTTGTCTTTTGAAGATCAAAATTACTTAAAACAGGATTTGGAGCCAAGAAGGTGGGGGATTGTTTCAGAAGTAGGGGGGATTATTATCAGAAAGAGGGGACAATAACATTGTACAGAGCTCTGAGATAATTTCATTTTTCCCCAGATACTACACTTAATCTATGAGTACTTTGTGGAAATTCTGACGTAACTCACCCTGTTATGATAATGTTCTTTAACACAAACTGAATCACCAACCAAAGATTTGGAAAACAGGTCTTGGCACAGCAGGCAGATCACTGCAACCAGAAAGGACAATGTCTCATGCTGTTGGTCCAAGAAGGTCTAAGAGAAAAGCTGAATTTCTAAGAATATAATGGATTTTCCCTCTCTTATTCTGTAACTAAGCAGAGAGTACTTTATCTAATCTATTTTATCAACAATTAAAATG